GACTCGTTTTTGTGAAGCTCGTCAAATTGACTGTAGGTGGCGGGTCGTTCAAAAGTGACGCTAATTTACTTTGTGTTTTTCTACAAATATTGGTGAAAAAATAGGAACTATTGTGAAATAAAGTGCCGAGCATGAATGGCAAAAACACATAAAAAGAGGATTTTCTACGTTCATGGGTGTACGATTATGATGAAAACTCCTAATGTAAGAAAAATCATGTATTTATTTACAATTTTAGTATTTATTGAAAACTATACTTTAGAGCAAAATAATAGATTCACTAATTGATTGATTAATTTCTTCTGTCTCCTAAATTATTTTATTGATTTTTTTTTCTTTACATTTATGGTCCTTAGGCTGAAACTGAAAGCGGAAATGCAAGAGCAGCTAGTGAGTCGATTTTTTTCGCTCAAGTATAGTTAAAAACCTTATCTTACGGAGTGGTAGTAGAATAGTGGCAATATGCAATTCCTAAGACTAATAAAGCACTTTCCAGTAATTATGTTTGTGAATTACACTTTTTGGAAATTATTATTTTGAAATATGATGGTACTGATAGTAGAAATAAAAGGAAATACTAAAATTAAGCTTATATTACAGAAGAAATTATTCTCCTGGAAAATTAATTTGATGGAAGTGCAGTTGTTAAAGTAGCTGATCAAACTTTAATTTATTTATGTACTAATTTATCACAAAAAAAATATAGTGAGTGAAATTGTACCTTAGTTTGCTATCAGCCCTTCATCATCATTAATTTGCATGTTATTTAGATAAGATTTATTATTAAACTGTAAATAATTTATGAATTAAAAAAAGTAGGATTTATTTATAATTAAATAAAATAGTATTTACCGTTTCATTTAACAATAAACAAGTTTATTTTGACAAAATTATGTAAAATCCTCGATAGAATCCATGTATTTCATAAATCACTTAGAACACCAGCGTCCTTGCGGTGAATTCTAAAAGCTCAATTATTAGCGTTTTTTTTTTGGAACCAACTCGAGGATATGCCGATTCGCTTCATTCCCTAGTCCTCATAATAATAACAACATAACTGATTATACATTATTTTTAACAGATTAGTTCTTAGGCTAGATTGAACCAGTTTTCATGTTTAAAAAATTATACACTAAAAAAGAGGTCTCCTAGCGTTTGTGTTTCACCAAATGATTAGTCTGTAATATTGTCATTGTAGTAAATGTAGTAGTCATTGTAACAAACATTTGCAATTTTCACTTAAATAGCGACCAAATGCAATACAAGAATGATAAACAATGAAATAATCAAGAAAATCAATCATTTTAAACAAATTAATTTTTTGATAAACCGAACAATTTTCTATGGTTCTGAAGAAATGGTATTTCATTTACTTTAAGACCTACAATTATTTAAATAACGTAATTGTTTACATTTTTTAGTCTATAAACAAATTAACTGAACTGCTCTTTGTTTGGACACTAATGCGTATATTGGAAACTATAATGCTCACTCTTTCCGAGTTTTAGATATTTTACTGACTACACGGCAGGTGTGTGTCTTTCTTTTTTGTCCCCCTCCCCTCAACAGCACTTATGCCTCACTAGGCCCATTGTGCATCCTTCTGAATCGCTAGTTCACTCTTGGCCCGTCAGACAGATTACATGTTTAATGTAGTTGACAACGTCGTCCAGAGGTGCCTCTCTTATATTGGCCGATGTTAGCCAAAACTCGCAGAAATAAAATCCTCCTAATAATGAGAGCGTTAAGCAATCCTTTGATAGTCTCACTTTCTTGTTCGCACTCCAGTGTAGGGTCTGACAGCCCCTTGCTATGGAGATGGTAGTGACCAGTCAAAATGCCTATCATTAGGTGCAGATTCGAAAGTATTTGTTTGCTGTAGTATTGTCATGGTAATTTAAGAGCTCCGTGGCAAGTCTATAGCTTCTTGTCTCATCCAATCTTTCGTTGAATTTAACAAAGGAATGTTCTTTAATTAGGTTTGTCACAACTGATGTTATTATTTCAATTGAGCATTCCTCGCTATTTTCGGACAGTGGTCAATACATATGTAGCGTTTACATCGCTCGAGCAAGTGTATTGCACTAAGAAATGCACCAGAAAAGTCTCTCCGAAATAATTAAATCAACTTTTAAAAATCCTAACACCGCTCAAAATATTTATTACACTCAAATATAAAATCCTAACGACAATCAAAATAATTGTTACAAGTTCCAGGTTCAAAAAGTATTTGAATGGCTAGTGAATCGGGAAGACAAGTTACCTTTCGAAGTGGCATGACTTTGGCAAAGGCTTGCTGATATTCTAGTACTAACTCTGAGTAAATTCGTGGAGGGTCCAGCGTGAGTAGTGTTTGTCTACTATCTGCATAAATAAGCATGTTCCTTCCAGTGAGTTAAATAGGAGTACTTTTAAAAGGTAATATACAACTCGAAAATTTAAAGAGAAAGCGAAACATTTTTCAAATAGTACGCTGTAGTGTTTCTGATTTTTATATATGAGCAATATATACGAAGTGCATGACAATTTTACTAAGTAAACATTCGGAATATTTTCTAATCAGCAATGTGTGTTTTGCAAAATGTTGTATAGGAATCTACTGTTGGAATAAATTATGGAATAAGTTTTGGAATAAGTGTTTTTAACCGTAAATAAATACTGAATACGCCTCTGTGGAACCGCTAGTCCTTAGTAACAAACTATTTAAAACGCAGTCGCACCGAAAGTGGGCCATTATAAACAGAAGATACTGAAGGCAGGGCCTTGGAAGTGCGAGTAGTAGTTATGTAATTCAAAGTCACACCTCATAAAAAACATAAAACCGCCAAAGACACAGCTACGAAGAACAAAATCATTGGTCCAAAACCAGACAAGGCGTGACTTAACAAATTGCGTCACTGACTTCATGAAGAAGCTAAATAATCATTTATAAATATTCATTACTCCTAGAGCTTACTTTGGCAGAAGTCAAAAGAATGCCGTGATGATCTCATACATATTTTCTGAGATAAAGATTCTTTATATGGTGTAATCAAATTGTAACATATAAACTATAAAAATTTAAATAAAAAATCTTTAAAATTCTCATGCCGAGCACATTATTTCAAAACTTCAAGACACTGAGAACTTCTAGACTCCAGAGGTAAAAATGCAGAGGTAAATCAACACGAAGCAACATATATAAATGTCATTTCTTTTCAGCCATGTTACTTATAGGTTTTTATGATCTGCAACTTTAACATGGCTAAAAATACTTTTTGAAATTAATTTTGATAACTTTCGGTACCCTCTATCTTTTTAGAAACGATCTGCAGAGAGTTCGGCCTGGAACAAACATTTAGATATTTTTAGCTCTACATTTTTTTGTTCACACTTTTTTCTTCCGGCCAATTGGAATCGAGATAAATCAAATCCAATTTTTTTTTAAGATTGCAGAGTTTATATGGCAGGCGGGGATACCCCCAATTTTGGGTTTTACCTTTTAGTCCCCAGAAACAAAAATCAAAAATTTAGTACAATTCTACTGTAGTAAGGAAACTGTTTCATGTTTTCGTTCAAACCTAGATTTAATACGTATTTTCAAATAATAAATTATTTTTATTTCTGTATTATCTCCTTTTATTGGGTTTCTTAAACCCATGCATAGTACGAGTGATTCACAAAAAAATATTTCGAAAGTAGGCCTTGGAAAAATTCACGCATATCGGAGTATACAATTCTTATTTTTAAGTGTCAGTTTCGATTTAATTAAGAGCTGTGCATAGTTATCAGGGACATGATTGGTATATCTGTTTTTATCGGTCATGGCCTACTTTAGAAGCATTTTTTTATGTTAATATACATACGATCAGGTAATGAAAATCATGGTACGCAACAACTTTGTTTTTATCAAGGAAAGCTTTTTCGAAAATAAAAACCAAATTTTTCAATAAAATAAATAAAATTGTCATAGTCCACGTTTTTTTAAATTAAAAAGTAAACTAGTCAAAAAAAAATCCGTAATTCTCGAAAAACCTTATTTAAGAATAATTAAATTATTATGAATACCGAAAACTCTTGTATCTCGAAAATGGTGTGACAAAACATAGCACAAAAATTGTCATATTTCGCTTAATTCACACGACGTACAATTTGACGTGCTGCAAATGGTGCGTGCCGGCACATGACACGTCGTAACGCACTGCAACTTTCAGTATAGTGGATTTTTCATAAAGGATGACGATGAAATTGTTGTATTGTATACCATCTTCCTAAATAATCCCTACACTCAGGTACGGATGCTCTCACCTTTAATCATTATGTTTATGTAAACTATCATTAAATAACACAATTAAAAAAAAAATGTGTTGATCATAATGTATTTAAAAATAACGCGTGTAAACACGTGTACTATCAAATTTACTCTAATTCAATTTAGCAACGCATGTATAAAATTTGATGCACGTTGTAGAGATTCTGTTGCATTTACCGAAAACAGAGTATTGTACGGTTTAGTTTTACACGTTAGTTTAGTGCAATTAAGTTATCAGACCCTAAGGTACACTAGCGAGTAGATTTTAGTAATATTAATAAAGGCCCTTTGTTTTTTTTTATAAAAAATGTACTGAGATCAATATGCATCAGAATTGCACTAACAGTAAGTTCGGGTGCATGTCAACGTTTAAATAAATGCCGCACATCATTACGCAGAATTTTCAGCACATCGAAGTGTTTGTCGTGTGCATTGTGCCGAAAGAAACACTGTTTATAACGTCATAGCTGTAAAAGTGATGAGAAATAACAAAATATATGAATGATTCAAAAACATTATTACGGCATGATTCAATGCCGCATTCATGTTTAAAACAACCATTGAGCCAAAACAAAATTTCTAGAGTAGACCATGGACCAAATATGATAATTATACACTTCTCTGAATGAAATAGATTGTCATTCAAAGGAAAAGAATCGTATATTCCGATATGCGTGATTTAATCCATCTTCAACTCTGACATTTTATCGCTCATTCGTATTTTTTGTTTAAAATTTTCTTTGGCGTATTCTATATACACCCACCATTTTTTCACAGTTTTTTGGAAAGTAGTTTTTTTTTTAATTATTGAATCTAAACCTTAAGTTAAAGTTGGGAAATCGCTATCTGAATGTATGTCAAAAACTTCCATTCTAGAAAAATCTCTTCTCCTGCCATTCCTTCTTGATACAGCATGTCTATACGAACTATCCTCTTCACTCGAATAATCATTAACAGGACGGTTCCAATTAAATAAAGGTTTACTAGAGTCTTTGCCATCTCTCCTCCTCCAAGCCAGTTCTTCTCCTGTGCTACTTCTACTGCTACATCTACTGTCGCTATTTGCTCTGGAGTCATATTCAATTGGAATTTGTTCGGGATTGAAAATTGAAGATTCTTCTCTGTCTTGAATTGAACTTACAGATCTCAAGGAACTTCTAGGAGAGAACTAAACATAAAAGTACATTTTTATAAATTTGTTATTTATGTACGCTATATGACTATTTTTATATTTGGAATATTGATTTTTTAATATCTATTTAATATATATTTTATTAGTTATAATCTTAGTTAAAAGACACCAGAGATATGACATACACCGGTGTTTAACCTGCGCAAATGTTGCCAATTTCTAAAGAAAGGTTAACGGAGTGGGGGAACTGGGCGGAGACCCGAACTCTGTGATAGGGACGGACTTTGTTTAATAGCATCATAATGAACTATTAGATTTACTTAAAATATGTTTAATGGAATTTTGTATAATGAAAGAATATTAACGTGATTTTTAATATCAAACAGATGCTACGACATTTTATGTAAAGACCTTTTATAGAATATTTTGTTAGCGTTTATTTACTACGGATTTCTCTACAAGAGACTACAGTAAAATGTTGAAATAGAATATTGTTAATCAAGCAATAAATGTTTCTCATTGTCTACGAGTATTATAAAAAAGCATGTGCGCAGGCAAATACTGCAAATCAAACCTTGTGAGTTCATTATATTGTTTCTACGGCTATTACATAATAATTTAAACCTATTAAAAGTTATTTGATCGCTAGGGGCAGGTGATTATCGAAATAAATAATCGATCATTGAAAATAATTGATTATTTTCGATCAATCGATTGTTTTCAACCTATTTGTTTTTCTTTAAAATTGACTACTTGATTATCTTTGAAAAATCAAAAATAATCGATTAATTAAAAAGCCAATTAACCGATAAATCAGTGTTTACAAAAAATAATAAAAGAATTATCGTTTATTTTAAATAATCTATTTTTTTCGTCTTTCCATACGTACATTAGCTTATAAAACTAATAAAGCAAAAAAAATACTTTTTAGGACTTTCCAGTTTTAAGAAGCTCCTGCTGCACTTTTTACAGCGTTTCATAAAACAATAGTAAAAACGAAAACCTCAATAAAACATGCATAAGTTCAATCAGACGGGCATAACCTAACTTCACTCTTGATCTTCGTATTTACTCTACGGACAAGTAATTCAAAATATAAAAATTAGTAATAATATGTGCGCAGGCAAATACTGCAAATCAAACCTTGTGAGTTCATTTTATTGTTTCTACGGCTATTACATAATATTAAAAATTTGTCAAAATGAGAAAATTCTGTTTTGTATTGTAACCACAAAAAAAGCATTTTAAAGCTTCTTTCTATAGGAATATTAATTAATATAGAGGATGAGCCACATGAAACTCTAGAAATACATATGTCTGAAACCACATAACATTTTAAAATTTAAACCTATTAAAAGTTATTTGATCGCTAGGGGCAGGTGATTATCGAATTAAATAATCGATCATTGAAAATAATTGATTATTTTCGATCAATCGATTGTTTTCAACCTATTTGTTTTTCTTTAAAATTGACTACTTGATTATCTTTGAAAAATCAAAAATAATCGATTAATAAAAAAGCCAATTAACCGATAAATCAGTGTTTACTAAAAATAATAAAAGAATTATCGTTTAAAAATAATCGATCAATTAAAAAGTCGATTAACCGATAAATCGATTTAAAAAACCGAAATAACGATAATTTTCGATCAATCGATTATTATCAAATAATCCATTTTTTTATATTTCCTTTAAAATTGACTATTCGATTATGTTTGAAAAATCGAAAATAATCGGAAAATCCAAAATAATCGGTAAATCGAAAATCGATTAATAAAAAGCCGATTCTAAAAAAATAACCGAAATATCGATTATATAAAATAACCGATTATATTCGATCAATCGATTATTTTCATATAATCTATTTTTTTCGTATATTCTTTTAAACAAATTATTAGAATACCTTTGAAAAATCGAAAATAATCGATTAATCGAAAATATTCGTTTGATCGAAAATATTCGGTTAATCTAAAATATTCGTTTAATCGAAAATATTCGTTTAATCGAAAATATTCGGTTAATCGAAAATAATCGATTAATTAAAAAAGCCGATTAAATAATAAATTGATTTTCTATTTTGAATAAATAAATCGATTTTCATAAAAAAATAAAAGAATAATCGATAAATCGATTATTTTTGTTACCCCCATCGGTCGCTTGCTTTTATCCGAGCATTTTGCTCCAAAATTTAGAATCGCATTCGATTGTATAATAAATAAATATTGCTAGAGTTTAGATTTTTTTAGCAAAAGAAGATTTTTTTGGGTTCTTTAGGGGTTTATATTTTATTAACAATGTGTGTGTGTGTGTGTGCATTTTACTTTGTTTTAAGACTTAAGATTGAAAAGTCACTTCCGATTTGACCGCAAATAAGATGAACCTTGAAATTTTAAGTATATCATCCTGTATTTCATCTAATATTCTCATAAAAATAGCTTATAAAAATAAAATTTCGCTAGCAACTATGCTTCTTTACTTTTTATTTATCTACCAAAAAGATCTAAAATCCACCTTATTCTTATAAAACTACTTAAACCCCTTAATGCGGATCTAAAGGTCTAAAGTATTCAGCCCAAAGTATCATGGCGGCTTTATGTCAAAACGTTAATAAATATTTACCGCTGGAAACGAATATATTTCTCATTTTTTTATAACATTGGCAAATATATTATTTGTATATACAATTTTTCACGATACATCGTGGAATTTTCAACTTGAAACTGAATAACTAATACACTTTAAATTGCTAATAACACCAACAAATAATTCAAGAACACGGCGGTCCCTGATGATTCACTCATGCGGAGTAGAGCGTTTTTTTTATTAGATAAAATATGTTTTTAAATATACCGCAAATGGGTTGCCTAAGAAAATACGGTCACGGCCATTTTTTACTTTTCTTTCTGTATACAGATAAGGAAAGTATAGAAATCATGATAAAAGTTACTTATAATGTTATTCTCTATTATTTTGTTCCTATACATGATTTCCCTAAAATGGACCTAATTCGAGATATTTGAGGAAAATGCAAAATTCTTAGGCAACCCTTTTGCAGTATATTTTTAAACGTATTTTATTTAATAAAAAGAAACTTTCATCCATTAAACAGATGGGTGAAGGTCGACCTTACTTCGGATATTAGACTATTACCTTTCGATTGTATCGGTGGTGCATTGGCTGTTAAAGTGGTACGCATAAAAAGTATATGTCTTTATTAAATATCTCAGTAGAAATATTATTCAATCCTTTTGTTAATTATTAGTTTTTTTAATAGTAAAGTAAAATATATTTTTATGATTCATTCTGTTTGCTAGAACGGCACAATATGTATAGTCACTAGTTTTTATTATGATTGGTTCATTTTTTTGTTTTTAAAGTAAATGTTTAAAATTTATATATCGTACAGAACCACGTGAAAAACAAAATCTATTTTTGTCTAGCAAACGAATGGAATCAGCCATAAGCCATAACGTCATAAGCCATAACATCATAAGCCATAAATCCATAAGCCACAAAGCCATAACGTCATAAAGCCATAAAACCATAATTCAACCGCTGTAATCTGAACGTTGGTTCCCGAGGAGCAGAAATCTCTTGTGAAAAGTTAGTTGATTGGAAAAGCGACAGCTACAATTCGAAGCTTCATAAGAAGAAAGATTAACCGACAAAGGCGTTGGTTTCCGAGGGACAGAAATCTCAACTACCTATGGCTATCTAGAAGTGGTTAGCTAACAAAGTAAAAAGTGGGAATTACTAGTGACTAGAATTATTTATGTACGAATCACAATTTGATACCTGATAACTGTGAATAATTTGTTTTCGAACAGGTTTCTTTTTTTAAATAAAATCATTAATTATTATAAGTATATATGTTGAATCTTATTTTTTAAAGGTCACAAAAAATTCTCTTTCATTAACTAAATTCTGTGTAATTTTTATTAACTTCTTTTTATTGATAAAACTAGAATTTATAATTCTCACTAGCTTTTAAAAATAAAAAAGAGAATTATTGGTGCCCAACATTTCCTAGAAAGATTACTACCCTTAAAATAATTGTCTATTTGAAAAGCCGAATTCACGACAGAGAAAAGGATGTGCTCATTTATTTTTTTTTTTATTTTTAAAGGTAAGTAACGTTTGATATTAAATTTCACTGAGATAGTAAAAAGCTCTATAAGTGTTTTGAAATTAATATTTATCAAAAAGGTAACAATCAATATTTCCAATTGGAGCCCAACGTGTCAATGGAATATTGCAAGACACTGATGAAACTTTTGAATCCGCGAGATATCCTAAGGGCTACTATAAAGCTGCTTTAAGAGTAAAAGGGAGAATCCTATAACGGTTATTAGGAGTATTTTTAAAACAATATCTTAAGACTAATTAGACTTAAGACAAAGTCCGTAAGAGTATATTAAGAATTTTATTAAAGCATTTTTAAATATTTTTTAAGATAATGATAATAAGTGGGATAGGCATAAAAACTTTACAAAACTAATCAGTTTTAAGAGAATTAAATTTTAGACTGTTTTAGCTTTATTCTGTTTTATCATACTCTCTGACAGAATGATTTTGCAAACATGTTGGGAAGACTGCCATATTAGAAATTAATTATTATGTTTAATTTGTTTAGTTACACTTGTTATTTCTTTAATTTTCAAACACACACCAAAGTACTATTAAAAGTGGGCAAGGTGGGTCGTAATAAATGATGGGCCTTACAATATATGAAATATACATGAAAAAGGATTATTATACGGATTCTAATCTATTTACAGAAAGTTATTTAATAGAAAATAACATTGTAAATATCGAATATATAGCACTATAAAATGATTACATTTGTTTTCGATATGTTTTTCATATAAAATATAACATTTTGTATTATTTCATGGAAGTGACTATTTAACCGCCAATATAAATCTTATTGTAGAGTTGTTTTTGCACAGATACATGTCATCGTCAGAAAACCATTTTCAATTGCGCATACTGCCTACTGAACTATCAGAAACAAACTTTGTGTTTAATCATAAATT